GGCCCACGTATCAGATATTAAACTGATAAGAACAGAAAAGAAAAAAAAACTGTGTTGATGGGTAGATAAACCTCCTATTTTTAATTCAAATTCAAGCTTAAATTAAGTGATTTATTTTAATTCGTGGGATAAAAGGCTACACTTTGTTAATTGGGATTTGGAACTAGAACAATTCAAGTTTAATGCATATTCCGGGCTTGTGGCTTCTGATTACATTAATTCTAGCTTCACATTGAAGCTTTGACTCAAAGAGGAACAGTCCATATATTTACTGCACCAAAAGATCCAATAAATTTGCAACCCATTGTTTGAATTAACATAATTTTATCTGTACTTCTAAATTGTAAAAAAACTCAACATAAGTTTCATAAAAAATTTACAAATAATTTTGACCTTAAAATAATATATATTACATCAAATATTTAAAAACATAAGGGGTGTGCCAGGGCCGAGCTGTAATGACTGGTACCTGGTGGCAAGGCAAACTTTAAAAACATATTTAGACTGGTATTAGGTGGGGTGCGCCAGGCCCGGGCTGTAGTGCAACGCTTGGGCGACACACGAGAGCCCCAGTAGCAAGCCACCGTATATGGGCTCTCCCCCTAAAAAAATTAATTTAATATCATGTGGACCAATGGCCCACGTATCAGATATTAAACTGATAAGAACAGATACTACACTTGATCTTAGCCAAAAGGCCGAGAAAGGTATGAGTTCGACCTTTGGGGCTCGCGTCCTTTAAAGGTAGTTTCTTTCCCCTTATAACGTATAGTTTCAATGTGGGATTTTAAACGAAAGACAGATGTTACGAGAAAAATGTCTCTATCTCATATCAGATAGGAACGGGAAGTTTTGGATTTTTTATAAGCGAATGTGCTACACACTTCTATAAATACATTTATGAGGGAGAGAGTAATAATTTTGTGACAAGTGGTATCAAAGCGGATCGAACCTCGTCTGACTCACGTTAAAACGTCTGGGCCCAAAGAAGACGTTGTCGGAATCGACGCCCGAGCCCAGCGAGACTCAGGGTAGATAGGGTGGTCGACGTAAATGAGAACGTTGTGGGAATAGAATAGAAGAGAATGTCACGAGAAAAATATTTCTATCTCACATCAGACAGGCTTAAGAGATCCTAAGCTCTTTATAAAGTTATTCTTTATTGGGTTATTTTTTTAACATTCTTGTTAAATCGATATATATTTATATCGTATATTGAAATCTTAATTTTTTAATATTGAGTATCATATTGTAAGATATAATAAAAAAATTTTAAATTAATTATAAATAGTATTCATACATATAAAAAAAATAAAGTAAAATATACTGACAGTCTTAACTTTTAATAATAATTACACACAAATCTATTAATTTTTAAAATAAATATTTAATCAAAAAAATTTTTTTTGCTTGATATATAAATCTTATCGTTTGTCAATCATCAATGTTTTTATTAATTTGATAACATAGTAATATTTTTAAAATAATTTTACTATTTATTAATTTTAAAAATTAACATTACATAAATTATAATTTTTTATTTTTAAATATTTTATCCTTTCAAAAAAAGATTCTTTCAAGCCACTTGCAGAGCACCAAATTATGGGGTGTCCAATTTGGGGCTCCTTGCTCCAAATTTGGTGCTCTCCAAATGAACTCAAGGAGATAGGTGGTTGGTCGGTGTAAAAGAATGTCGCTAGTCAACTTGAGAGTAAGGAAAATGTGAAAAAAAAATATTTTAGACAGTTGATGTTTAGACACTAATGTCATTTATACCTTTGAGGTAGAGTGTTTATTTTGAAAATTAATAAATTTACATATAATTATAATTAAAAGTTAAAAGTGTTAATGTATTTTACTTTTAAAATTTAAAGATGACAAAATATAAATTGAAAAGAGAATTATTTTTTAATTTAAACTCTCAGCATATTCCTCAATAATATACAACTTTAAATAAAATATACATTTTTTTATTAATTTATCAATCAAAAATTAAAAAGCACTTATTATGTTGAAATAAAAAATGAATTCGATTTTTTTAGCATTTTTTATATAAAATCCAAAGATTAAAACTCATTCAAAATAGTTTTTAATATTTCAATTTAAAAAATAAAAAATAATTTTTCATAATTAATTAGATTTAAATTCATAAAAAATATATTAATTTTTGTATTATAAATTACATATCGTATACATATTAATTTAAGTGCAATGAAGGCCGCTTACCTAGGCCATGCGTCTTTATGATCACCCATCGACCCCGTCCAGGTAAGTATGTTTTATCGTTGCCACCTGCCCTGTATTTATAGTCTCTGCTTCTTCTGCTCTCGGCTCCTTAATTTTACTTGTGTAAAGTGGGACAAACGAATTTCCAAACAGAGAATAGGTTAGCTTCCCTTCCTTTCTCTGATCCAAACAGACTTGTGAAATTCAAAGGAAACAACGATCAGTTTCCAAATCGTTATTAATGGGTCTTTCTTCTTCTTTTTTTTTTTAAAATTCACTTAAAAGATGTCTCACAGTTGAATTTTTATTCAGAAATATAGAGTAAGGGCGCTTTCCTTTAAACCTTGCAAATTAAAAAAAAAAAAAAAAACTTTGATGATGGGTCTATAAACCTCCTATTTTTAATTCAAATTCAAGCTTAAATTAAGTGATTTATTTTAATTCGTGGGATAAAAGGCTACACTTTGTTAATTGGGATTTGGAACTAGAACAATTCAAGTTTAATGCACATTCCGGGCTTGTGGCTTCTGATTACATTAATTCTAGCTTCACATTGAAACTTTAACTCAAAGAGGAACAGTCCATATATTTACTGCACCAAAAGATCCAATAAATTTGCAACCCATTGTTTGAATTAACATAATTTTATCTGTACTTCTAAATTGAAAAAATACTCAAACATAAGTTTCATAAAAAATTTACAAATAATTTTGACCTTAAAATAATATATATATATATTACCTCGAATATTTAAAAACATAAGGGGTGTGCCAGGGCCGCGCTGGAATGACTGGTACCTGGTGGCAAGGCAACCTTTAAAAACATATTTAGACTGGTATTGGATGGGGTACGCCAGGCCCGGGCTGTAGTGCAACGCTTGGGCGACACACGAGAACCCCAGTAGCAAGCTACCGTAGATGGGCTCTCCCCCTAAAAAAATTAATTTAATATCATGTGGACCAATGGCCCACGTATCAGATATTAAACTGATAAGAACAGATACTACACTTGATCTTAGCCAAAAGGCCGAGAAAGGTATGCTTGATTTTATTAAGGCTCGCCTCTTTTAAAGGTAGCTTCTCGTCACTTGTCTCATATAATTTTAATGTGGGATTTTGAATGAGACAGAATTATTCTTAAACGGATTTTTTAATATATTTTTTAAATCAAAATATATATTGTATATTAAAATTTTATTTTTTTAATATCAAATATCATATCATAAAATATGATAAAAAATTTTAAAAGTAATTGCAAATAACACTCATACATGTGCAATAAAAAAATTTAAAAATAAGATAAAATATATTGATACACTCAACTTTTAACTATAACTACATACAAGTCTATTAATTTTCAACATAGATATTCCATTCAAAAAAATATTTTTGTTAAATACATAAATCTTGTCATTAATTGTTAATGTTTATGTTAATTTGATGATGTGATAATATTTTTAAGATAATTTTATTTTTTATTAATTTTAAAAATTATTATTATATAAATTATAATTTTTTATTTTAAAATTTTTTCTCTATTTCAAAAAAAATCCTTCCTATTGCCACACTCTCCAATCGAGCACCAGATCTGAAGCTGCCTTGGAGAGCCCAATTTGGAGCTCCTTGCTCCGATTGGTGTGATTTGCAAAGGAGAAGAACCCAAGGAGATGGGTGGTTGGTCAATCTAATTGACCTAAGAGAAATGAAAAGGTTAAAAAAAATATTTTAAACTTTTCATATTGAGGCATTAATGCGGTTTACAAGTTTAAAATGAAATATCCACTCGTGTTAATGTATTTTACTTTTAAAATTATTATATTTTTTAAAAATTAAAAAGTATAAATTGAAAAGAGAATTATTTTTTAAATTTAAACTATCAGCATATTCCTTAATAATATATATTTTTAAATAAAATATATGTTCTTTATATTCTTTTATTAATTAAAAATTAAAAAACTTATTACGTTGAAATCTAAAGGGAATTTGATTTTTTTAGCATTTTTT